ACTGCACCAATCTAGTCCCACGATGTTGACACTGCACCAATCTAGTCCCACGATGTTGACACTGCACCAATCTAGTCCCACGATGTTGACACTGCACCAATCTAGTCCCACGATGTTGACACTGCACCAATCTAGTCCCACGGACACTGCACCAATCTAGTCCCACGATGTTGACACTGCACCAATCTAGTCCCACGGACACTGCACCAATCTAGTCCCACGATGTTGACACTGCACCAATCTAGTCCCACGATGTTGACACTACACCAATCTAGTCCCACGGACACTGCACCAATCTAGTCCCACGATGTTGACACTGCACCAATCTAGTCCCACGGACACTGCACCAATCTAGTCCCACGATGTTGACACTGCACCAATCTAGTCCCACGATGTTGACACTGCACCAATCTAGTCCCACGGACACTGCACCAATCTAGTCCCACGGACACTGCACCAATCTAGTCCCACGATGTTGACACTGCACCAATCTAGTCCCACGGACACTGCACCAATCTAGTCCCACGGACACTGCACCAATCTAGTCCCACGATGTTGACACTGCACCAATCTAGTCCCACGGACACTGCACCAATCTAGTCCCACGATGTTGACACTGCACCAATCTAGTCCCACGATGTTGACACTACACCAATCTAGTCCCACGGACACTGCACCAATCTAGTCCCACGATGTTGACACTGCACCAATCTAGTCCCACGGACACTGCACCAATCTAGTCCCACGATGTTGACACTGCACCAATCTAGTCCCACGATGTTGACACTGCACCAATCTAGTCCCACGGACACTGCACCAATCTAGTCCCACGATTTTGACACTGCACCAATCTAGTCTCACGGACACTGCAACAATCTAGTCCCACGATGTTGACACTGCACCAATCTAGTCCCACGATGTTGACACTGCACCAATCTAGTCCCACGGACACTGCACCAATCTAGTCCCACGATGTTGACACTGCACCAATCTAGTCCCACGATGTTGACACTGCACCAATCTAGTCCCACGATGTTGACACTGCACCAATCTAGTCCCACGGACACTACACCAATCTAGTCCCACGATGTTGACACTGCACCAATCTAGTCCCACGGACACTGTACCAATCTAGTCCCACGGACACTGCACCAATCTAGTCCCACGATGTTGACACTGCACCAATCTAGTCCCACGGACACTGCACCAATCTAGTCCCACGATGTTGACACTGCACCAATCTAGTCCCACGGACACTGCACCAATCTAGTCCCACGATGTTGACACTGCACCAATCTAGTCCCACGATGTTGACACTGCACCAATCTAGTCCCACGGACACTGCACCAATCTAGTCCCACGGACACTGCACCAATCTAGTCCCACGATGTTGACACTGCACAAATCATCTTTCTTCACGTAACCACCTCTCTAACAGACAAGTTCCAGAAGTTTCTCACGAACCCTTCACCTACCTGCACAGGTAGAGGGCGCTGCTCACCTGCCTGCAACAGGTGCCGCTATTGTCACTGGCATTTCACGTGCATCTCGGCAAAGGTCAGAGTTCAATTATTGCCCCTGGCTCCACGGAAATCCATCAGTGTATTCCATGAACCAGATATTTACTGTATTGATCAAAGGTTCGACCAGAAAGAAAAACTTATCCCTGGTCAGGTTTGAGCTAAGATCTCTCCAAACCTCCCTTACTCTCTTAGAATATTGAGACATGAAAGAAAGTTCTTGCATGCTCTTGTTGTGTGTGCTTTTGGAAATCGATACTCAAACTATGAATAGAATTTGCTGACTCGAAGTTCGAACTGAGTATTTATTGACTCGATACTCGTACTATGTACACTTTGTATTAACTTTATATTTGAACTGTGTAGATTATTTATTAATTCGATACTCGAACTATACACAGTATTTATGAACTCGATACTCGTACTGTGCAATGTATTTACTAACTCAATTCTCTATTAATACCCTTCTGTAAGGCTTATGTTAGGTACCGATTAAGGCTGGGTGTGCTCTGGACTCTCTTAATGAAAACACTGGTATTAACCCTGTATGATCAGCTTCTGGAGCTGATATACTCGTATCACTGACCACACGCTTTTAATTACACATCCACCGAATGGTCAAATATATTACGTACTGAAGCATGTCAAAGCTTCCCCGTTAATTTCTTAATTAATTATTTAACAGGTCGTCAACCTCTCAGCCACGCGCTTCGTTGAAGGCAACCATCGCACTGTTGTCAATAGCAACAGGTTTCCTAGCCCAACCACTGCTCACCGCTTCCGCCGCAAGGATCGGATCAAGCCTTTCTGCTCTCCATTAAAGGAGAATTCTACACATTTATCCGGGACTTCCGGAGCGCGGGCGAACGCACGCGAGCGGGGGTCACGTGTGAAAACAAACAGGGGTTAATGCGCCCCGTTCATGCCATTTCTCAACGTGGAGTTTATTTCCTTTCTTACATATGCTTGGTGCAACAGCTGAGACGTCTGTTTAAGTAAGGAAATGCTTGCCCTTTATTATTGCTGGGATTAGCTTTTCTTATTACTAGCCTTAGCTCTTCTTATTCATGGCCTTAGCACTTCTCATTATTGACCTTAGCCCTTCTCATTGTTGGCGAGGCGGCGGTATAGAGAGCTCGACTGCTAACCCGCAAGTCTCGAGTTCGAATCTCTGACTTGTGTCTACGTCCCTGAGTCCACCCAGCTTTGACGGATACCTGACTGATTAGGACAAAGTGAAGCCAGCAATGCACTGACCACTCCACCTCTATACATGTTGCGGTCACTCTACTTCATCTGCCCCACTGACCATCAGGCTCGAGACGGTAACCTAACCCGTATTTTACTCAACTAAGCTCTGCAGTTTGATGACCTTAATTACGCGTATCATATTAGTTAAAATTAATTAATTTTCATTTGTTGTTCCGATAAATGACAGTAGCTTGTTCTACCCCCCCCCCCCCCTCTCCTGCCCCTCTCGACCTCCATGCAAAAACAAAATCACAAAAGTAAGACCCCTTCCCCCCCCCCCCCCACTTGTAATGACAGAGGTCATAAGCGCTCCCCCACCTTGTGACATAAGGATTTTATTTCTAGAAATAACTGTTGCCTCCCCTTCCTTGATTTTTCTGATCCAATGTGTTGTCTCCCTTACATCCGATCTTAGCCCAACTGCCGGCTAAAACAACAACTGGCAGCCACTTCAGCTTAACACCAGACCGGAAGTTAACTCAAAGTGACGTCAGAGGGGAAAAAACTCCACCCAGTTAATTAGATCAAGATGTAATGTTTCTCCCCCCCCCCCCCCTTATTTGTATGCACATTCCTACATTGTTATTCTATATGAATAGGATAACATATTTCATTCCTCGTGTTTTTTGCAACTCGACAAAAAAAAAATAATAGAGTTCGCTCCCTTGGCAGTTTACCTTGTTTCCCGTACCAGTGCTATCAAATACGAAACTGGTTTCAAGGCTAGCTGTCTGGCATGAGACTAGACAATAATGCTAGCGTGTAAACACACATTTCAGTAGGCTATTCTAACATCGCTATGTTAATTAGGTAGTTGATCTCTACAACTGACTGTTTCGTTAACCAAGACTGTTATTAGTATGTATAATAATATGTTCATATAGGATGTTTTAGTAAAGACAAATTTTCAGGTCAACGACAAAATACTCGTTGTTTCATTTGCAGATATATAAATATGCGTGAATATATATATATATATATATATATATATATATATATATATATATATATATATATATATATATATATATATATATATTGGATCATTAAAAATTAATGCTAATTCGATAAAAATCATGTTTAATGTTTTATGCGAATTTATATGTGTTCAAGCGTATTATATGGTGAGCAGATTCTAGATCAGTGGTTCTTATTGTGGGTTTGATAGAACCCCAAGAGTTTAGGGAGTTAGTCTTAGGGGTTCGACGGATCTCAAGTACGACACACACCCGACTCACATCATGCGCGAAAAGACAACTTTCGGTGAATTCTCAAATGGTGGGGTTCTGTACATCTACAAAGGTTAAGGACCATTTTCATATATATATATATATATATATATATATATATATATATATATATATATATGTGTGTGTGTGTGTGTGTGTGTGTGTGCGTTTCAAAATATCTCGTTCATCGGTGGATATAGACACAATTATTGTACACATATATGACTTGCAACATTGCCAAAGAGTAAAACAATTGAAGACTTTAAAAATATCTTTCACTGTCTCGTCTTTATATGGTAGTACATAGACCCTGGCTAACTAGCTATCAAAAGACATTCATCATACAGTATACAACTGGCAGATTTTCTTTACAGCTGATCTATACTAACACCTGGACAGTGTAACCCCCCACTCCCCACCCCTTCTGTTTTTACCTTGAACCACTCACCCTGTTCCCAGGTAAAATTTTACCTATCTGGCAAGAACGGCTACTCGCGAACTGTTTACGTTTTTTACCTTGTCAACAAACAGAACCCCTACTCAGCACTAATGATCTTAGCTAACGGTTTTTAATGGTTAATTATGTAATCTAATTATGCAATTAGACTTTTTAAATTGATTTAGTCCTTTTTAAAATTGAAATATTAATAGTAAGCAAAATAAAATAAAAGCTTAGCAAACGTGCAGAAGATAGAATTTTAATAGAATAAATAATGTTACTAGCACTGAGTTAGTTGAACAGTGTTTCTTTCAGACATCCTTTTCCGGGTGGGGGGGGGGGAGAGCACTTGAAATTTTTGTGGTAGGGGGGGGGGGCACTGAAAATGTTTGTTTGGGGGGGGGGGGTGGTACCCTGATGAGATGCCTGAAAGAAACTCTTTTCGTACTTTAAGTAGTATTAACATTGTAGCTCGCATAGTGTTAATTGTATGCAAATTGTACAGAATGTTATGCAAACATTGTACCGAGTGTCACCAAAATAAAAATAAAAATTTCTTACCTTGGGCTTTAATGAGCACCAAGAGGGCCAGTACAAAAATCAGCGCCTCCTTCCACATTTTCGAACCCTCGCGTCCCAACTCTGTGTGAGCACAGCTAGGAACTGGCGAATATCATCCACTGTGGGACTCGCGTCTCTGTGTCCTCGTCTCTGTCCTCGGGGACTGCTGCAAGTCGATGGCTGCAGCCCTCGCTGATCTCCCCGTACGGATGCCTCGGGTCGTGTTATGCAGACAGAAGTAGAAATTAATCCCTAACAAGCTAACAAAACAACACCAGCTAACATGAAGTTAGCCTGGTGGATAGAACGCACGGCTACTAACTCGGATGGCAAAAGCAGTCAGACACTTTGAGTCTGCTGCAGATCGCCCAAAACATTCGAGCGAGCGTTTCTATTTTATATGGCGCTTTAGGAAGAATTACCAATCAAATCCCACGTTACGGATGCTCTCGGGTTTGGGGGAGGAGCTAAGAAAAGATAGACAACGTAACTAAACATTGAATTTTTTTTTTACCGTGCGCCAAAAAAAAAAAAAAACAATTTCTCCAGAAACGTTACGAAGAGAAGAATAAAAAAAACGATGGTGTATGATGTTAAGAAAGGGGGGTAATTCGTGTTGGGCTGGAAGGTAGACTGCGAGAGAGCAAACGGGATAGAAGAAAATATTCCAACCAAAACAACAAGTGCGGGTAGGTCTCTGTAAATCTACAAGGGGAAACAACCTAGCAGGGGGTAACTCGTATGAGCAAGGAACATTATTCGAATATTAACGTTCGTTTTGCCTTCGTTTGCTTTTTTTTTTTAAGTAACCCTTTTAATCTCCTTCACCCAGATTTCTCACAAACTTGTTTCCAAATGGTGTGAGTAAAAACATTCAACTAAAACAAAGAGACGGGGTGGGGCCGGTGCATTACATAATGAGGTCTTGGCTCTAATCGGAGAACACAAGAGAACGGGTCTAAGTGTGTTTCAAGATTGTTTGCTTTGTGAGAAACCTGTGCAAAAATCACAACAATTAATCCCTTTACAAAGACCAGCTGCAGGAAAATTAGAGGATAGTTATAGGTTAGTCTAAACTCCGAAATACCACAATGAGTCAAATGTTGACGTATTTTACTCCACCTGTGTAACAGCGGAAAGCATCAAGTTAGATTTATAACCAGCTCATTAGAGGCAATTGAAGCTTTGCCTAATGGAGACAAATATCCAGCTGTGTCTAGGCTGGTCTAATGCAAGCAATATCCAGTTGAGTTTTAACAGCTATCACTGTATGTAAGGCCTGTCCTTCCTAACAATATGTATGGCCTGTCCTTCCTAACAATATGTATGGCCTATCCTTCCCCATAATATGCAAGGCTGGATAGGAAAAGTGAGACTTACATCTATACATGGGATACTTCTGTTTCCACATAATTGCGCAACGGAAAAATGCGCAACAGTAAAATGCGCAACAAACAATGCGCAAGCAGAAAATAGCGAAATACACTATACTTATTCACTTTAATTTGGTCATATTTTCTGTAAATATGTGGTCAGTCTTTAAATTATTTTTAAAATTCCCCTAAGCTCATTTTCTTCTTCTTTTTCTTCGTTCTTAATTTTAGTGTGGGAAGGGATCCCCTCTAACACAATTAAGTATACGAGCCGGTCCGCGGCATAACATACGCCGCTATTTAGATGTTTTATTTTCTACTTTTCAGTAATTCATAATTTGTGAATTCGACAGTACCAACGCTGCCACTGAAAATATTTCTTTAAAACACTATAAGTAGCTCGTTAAGGACCATAACCCCCCCCCCTCCCCTACGTTTAAAATCGTTGGCTCTGCTTGTAAACATTTAGAGTGAACACAGCTCACTAAGACCATGTAGGGGTGGGGAGGTAGGGAGCGCGTTTACAGCTTGTTTTCTAGCGGCTCCCAGAAGAAAATTATATATATATAGACGTGTCAACTGGTTATGCGCCATTAACGCCATTCTCTCCGATTTCAGCCTGCTTTTCTTTTTGGATTTGCTTCCATAGCCTTTGTCCAACCAAGAACAAACTACAAGGTAGCAGTTGTTTGATTTTGGAGTTGTCTCTCCTAGAAAAGTGGCTGTCCCCAGCTAACGAGCTTTATCTGCCTGAGGGTTCGAACTCGAGACTTCTCAGTTTGGCAACCATGTACTTTACCGACTGTTGATGTTGCGTATATTTCTGGTCGACTTAACTGCGCATGATTCTCTGTTTAAATTTAAACGTCTGTTCTTTTTTTGACGTATGCAGAATTACACGATTAACTAAGTTAAAAAATCTAAAATCAAATAATAACATAATATCTATTCAATATTTTTTATATTTTTAATATTGCGACTCAATATTAGCTTCAAACAGTCATCGAACTGTGCTCAGTACTCAATAATATTAGAACCGCTACACAGTGGCGTAGCGAGGTCGGGTGTCACCCGGTGCGGCACTTAATGGTGTCACCCCCCTGAGGCGTAGCGACCCTTCCCGGGGACAAACTTTCAAGTTTTCGATTTGCACCCCCCCCCCCCACCCCCTCAAGTTTATCTCTATATATTTTGCTATTTTTTGCCTTGGTGTCACCCCCCCTAAATGGTGTCACCCGGTGCGGTCCGCACCCCCCGCCCCCCCTCGCTACGCCCCTGCCGCTACATCAGAGCATATTGTAGCTCTAAAGTCAACAAACTGTGCTCAGTACTCAATAATATTAGAACCGCTACATCAGCGCATATTGTAGCTCTAAAGTCAACAAACTGTGCTCAGTACTCAATAATATTAGAACCGCTACATCAGAGCATATTGTAGCTCTTCAGGCAGTCAACAAACTGTGCTCAGTACTCAATAATATTAGAACCGCTACATCAGAGCATATTGTAGCTCTTCAGGCAGTCAACAAACTGTGCTCAGTACTCAATAATATTAGAACCGCTACATCAGAGCGTATTGTAGCTCTTCAGGCAGTCAACAAACTGTGCTCGGTACTCAATAATATTAGAACCGCTACATCAGAGCGAATTGTAGCTCTTCAGGCAGTCAACAAACTGTGCTCAGTACTCAATAATATTAGAACCGCTACATCAGAGCATATTGTAGCTCTTCAGGCAGTCAACAAACTGTGCTCAGTACTCAATAATATTAGAACCGCTACATCAGAGCATATTGTAGCTCTTCAGGCAGTCAACAAACTGTGCTCAGTACTCAATAATATTAGAACCGCTACATCAGAGCATATTGTAGCTCTTCAGGCAGTCAACGAACTGCTCCAACATTGACATTACAACTTTCAGAGACCTCTGTCAAACGTCAACACTCAGCGCCATCTGTTTCAACATTCTAGAAATGTTTTTGTTGTTTCAACATTTTGCTCGGTTTCCTTTTAAAATAAATTACCATTTTGTAGGGTCACATGATTTATTGGCCACGGTAAAAAAAAATATTGGGATTTCCAAAATATAATCTGTTAGTTTTATTTTTAAAATCTTTAACCGGTTTCAGATATGGGCAAATATGTGAGTGATTAAAACAAGTTATTCTTTTTTTTTTTCAACATTTTGCTCGGTTAAAAAATAAATAAATAACCTTCTTTTATGTGGTCACACAATTTATTGGCCACGGTGAAAAAAATATTGGGATTTCCAAAATATAATCGCTTAGTTTTATTTGTAAAATCTTAACGGCTTTAGATATGGGCAAATATGTGAATGATTAACATAAAACTTTCTCTAATTTTCATATATATAATATTTAACGCTTATGTTCTATGTTATATATATATATATATATATATATATATATATATATATATATATATACATATATACATATACATATATACATATAACATATAACATATAACATATAACATATAACATATAACATATAACATATAACATATAACATATAACATATAACATATAACATATAACATATAACATATAACATATAACATATAACATATAACATATAACATATAACATATAACATATAACATATAACATATAACATATAACATATAACATATAACATATAACATATAACATATAACATATAACATATAACATATAACATATAACATATAACATATAACATATAACATATAACATATAACATATAACATATAACATATAACATATAACATATAACATATAACATATAACATATAACATATAACATATAACATATAACATATAACATATAACATATAACATATAACAAATAACATATAACATATAGCATATAGCACATAACATATAACATATAACATATAACATATAATATATAACATATAACATATAACATATAACATATAACAAATAACATATAACATATAGCATATAGCATATAGCATATAGCATATAACATATAACATATAACATATAACATATAACATATAACATATAAGATATAACATATAACATATAATATATAATATATAACATATTATATAAATATATATATATATATATATATATATATATATATATATATATATATATATATATATATATATATATGGTGGGGGTGCGTGTATGTGCAAGTGTATGCAGAAACAAGTTGTTGTTTATCTGTTTATCTAAACTTTATATACCTTCACGGTACCCAGCACGTAGAAAAGAATCTATTGACATAACCACTGCTTTTCCGTGTTAGTGGCTAAAATGTCAAGTACACCTGTCATGAGCACTTGTTGTGTGTGTGTACCGGAAGTGGCCTCACTTCCTAGGTACAAACCTCGTCTGAGACTCCAGACAGCCCTAACAGACGTTGGGCGCATAATGACTCACACTATAGGGTATACGGCAGTATTTCTGTTTCCTCCCAAGTTTAATGGGCTTTGTTCACAGAGACGAAGATGATAACTTCTGGTATTATTGGTTAGACACATTCAATCTTTTAAAATATTTTTCAACCTTTTATTTAACTTTCTTCCTCTGTCTGTTGTGCTCATTGCGTTTTCCGTCTTGGATCAAAACTGGCGAGCGAAATTTCGACCACTTCTGACTGACCGATTCTTTTCATAGTTATGCAATATAAAGGAGAAAATAAATGATTTTCTTTAAATATATATAATAATACATTACCATTTAAATCGCTAAAAATAAAAACTTGGGTAGCTTTTTAAATTTTTAGTAAAGGTATCCAATAGATCATAAGGTGATCAAAGCTTTCCTTTTTTTTTTCTTTAAAAAGTTCATAATTATATATTTAAGTAAAGAAAATAATTTATTTCCTCCTTTTTAGTGCATTATTTTTTAAAAGCCTGTTATTAAAAAACTTTTTAATACATTTAAAATATTTTTTTAATAAAAATGTGTTAATTACTTTTTAAAAATCACAAATGCAATTCTTTGTCACGTGT